TGAATTAATTTTAAAGTTGTTTAAGTGCCGCTAAGCCTTATAATTTTTTGATGGCGGCCATTGCTTGTTTACATTTGAAACAGGAGACTAGTGGATTTGTTGCCAATCTAGAGAAACTTAGCTTCGCAACAACAAAGATAACGCCTTCATTTATTATTGCCAATTAAATCATGCTTAATCCTTTCTGGAATTTTTTTGACTAAATATGTGTTTAAGATTTACTTCGTTATTTTTAATATAGATATTTTGAGTTTTTATGTATTTTTGCCTTCTCGTGAAATGAGAATTGAATTAATTGAATGAGAAATACTCAATCGTCTTTGAAAAACTGTTTCTTTTTTTGTTTTGTTTGCTTAATTTCTTTTATACATCATTCTAGCTTTATTATAGTATTTGAACAGAACATGCGGCAACGATTAGATCTTTAAATCTGTTCTTTAAATGATATAAATTTTGTGCATTCTGAGTTATAATATGAACGAAATATAATACTGTTTAGTGAATCTAGCACCAGAGTGTTGCTAAGGTAAACAAATAGAGTGAATTTTAAAGAATGCATTTATTCTGTTGTGGTTTATGCGCTGTCGGCGAAGTAGATTTAATTCAATCCAATAAGTTTAAATGAAATGCAAGAAAAAATGCGTATAATTTAATGTTCCGTACAAGGAAGTCATGTGGTGTACACATCAGATTTTTTTAAGATTTGAAACTGTAAAATAGTGAATTCAGTTTCTGCACCTTCAATGTCTTTTTGCCGAGTGGAAACTTTTAGTCCGCTTTGTACACCGAAAAATCTGCTTTCTTTCCCACTGGCCGAATTGCTTGTTTTTGCATATAAACTCTAATTTTAACAGTGAAAAAAGTGATTTTAGCTGTTTTAACTGTATTTGGTGTTTTAAGTTTTTCTGTATTTTACAATTTTTTAATGAAGTTTTTTTGAGTTTTTATGTATTTTTGCTTTGCTGCAAAGTAAGAACTGACGTATATCTCTAATGCAATTCGAAGAAATAAGTTTAAATGAAATGCAGCAAAAAATGTGTATAATTTAATAAGCCATACAAGGAAGTCATGTGGTGCCCACATTAGTTTTTTTTTAAATAATTTTTCTAAAACAAAAGAACGTCCCTTTAATATATTTATTCAGAGATAAGTAATTTTCTCAAACAAATTGCACACTTTATTTACATACAACATTTAATGATCAACCCAGGGTTTAATATTAAATTTAGCACGTATCAAGACATCATCAGGCATACTGCTATTTGGAAATTGTTGGACATCAAGAGTTTGTTGGATCAACCAAAAACTCAGTTCAGAATGATTAAAACCAAATGGTAAAAGAAATTTGTGAGACTTTCCCAAAACTGCATGTGGTCATGAAGTTAAATCTTCTAAGAGTTATGAAATTATTAATTGCAAAGAATCCGTACTTAATTTAAGTTATTAGTTTTTATTTATTTAATTTTTATTTTTAATTAAATAGACTTTAATGTAAAAAATTGATAGCTTCTTTGAATTCAGTTAAAGTGAAAGAATATTGGCAGTTGGTAAGCCACACAACTTTTCTTATTTAGCTATTATATTTAATTAGTGCAGACTGACAGTGGTGTTTATAGTGAGCACTATGTAAACAGTAATCTTTTTGAACCTGTAATGTAGTAAATGAAACTTACGTTTTGTTGTTAAATAGAGTTATTTCTTGCTGCTTTACTTGTAGCTTAGTCATTGGTGTTCATTTTTTTCCAAAAGTTTGTATGTATTTATACACTTTCCATATAAATACATACATATACTTTATGCATATACTCAGGGCTGTGGAGTCGTCAGGGAAAATGACCGACTCCGACTGCTGGAATTTTAATGATTCTGACTCCCTCTCTATATATGTAAACACATGCACATGAGTTACAGCTTATTTTTTTAATATAAAAGAAGTAATAGATATTACAGAAAAAAATTGATGCCATAGCAAATTATTTATATAAATTAGCAGTTATTATGAAATGGAAAAACTAGCATTAGTTATTTCTAAGAAACAGTATAGCTTCGGCAAGATTTTCTTTGTTGGAGGGCCATAGATCCGATTTGATAAAACTTCAGAGCTGAAAAAGAGGCTTTCCACACTAACTTGAGTAGAAGGAAGAGCTGTTACTATTAGGGCTACTTCTTAGGATAGATTTTTATAAGTTCTAAAAGAGGTGTCTTGCAAGCACAATCATATTTCTCTATTTCTTCAAAGGCCATGTAGAAATCTTGTTTGTATTTTTTCATTTTTATATCTAAAGGCTCTTGTTTTTTATTTTCATTCACTTTGCCTTAGCCTTTTCAATATTATCTCAAAATGTAATTCATCAATGGAAAAGGATGATAGAGACTCAATTGTAATGTCTGCAGCTTGACTGTCCTGATTCAAATTTAAGAATAATTTCATTCTTAATGAAAGTTCATAGATGACTTTCTTTGCCTTTTTAATTCGTTTTGTCATCCGAGAAAATTCGGTGTTTTGGATGTCTATATATTGAACCCAGCAAGATCTCATTGTCTATAGATCTCAAAGTTTCTCTTTTTTTCATTAAAGAAATGATTCCTTCTGCAATAAACCTTCCATTTCAAAAAGAACAAACATCCCATTCTCAACTTCCTGTCAGTTCTTCAGATTGCAGCTTTTTTGTGGCTATATACAGTATAGAAAGAAGAGTTTCCAGTTCTGCAAGATCATTTCACAGTCTTTCTGTTAGTGAAACATTAGTGTTATATACATCTCCTAAAAAAGTTCTTAATACTAAAAACCTCTTTATCATCAAATATGTACTTCCTTATCGCATTGCTTGATCAATAATTGCTCCTTATCCTGCTTGCTTCCTAAGAATGGCATCAATTTTAGGAGTTCTTGCTGCTATTGCTGCTTACCGAAATTTACCAGTGAGATTTGTAACTAAATGAATCAGTTTAATCACTAGTGGCAAATATCACATCCATCCTCCTCCCTTATATTTATTTATTAATAGGTCAATAAAATAGAAAATAACTATTTATTAATGTATACAATTCATAAATTAAAGTAATAACTCAGGTCATTAATTTTTTCAATTCATTTTAATTTCATTTCAGATTCAAACTGTCCAAAGAAAACTGGAGTCGGAGTCGACCTGTTTTTAACGACTACAGCTCCGACTCCTTTTACTCCAAAATCTGCCTGACTCCGATTCCAACTCCATGACTCCGACTCCATAACCCTGCATATACATACTGTCATAAAACTCGCATAATTATCTTTATTTTGTTCTATGTTTCATTTAGGTGACCCTTATATGTTTAGTTGATTTTTATTATGACATCATAAATTTTAAATGATTCCATAAACTTTTATTATACATGCATAAAGATGCTTAAAAAATGTTTAAAATAAGTTACTCAGTAATGTAAAGTTTCTTTTAAAAATCCGATCTTTGTTGTAATAAGAGGACTGAAAATCGGAACATGTAAATAATATATTTCTGTGAGGGGGGGGAATCTTCATTTAGTGTAGCTGCTGTATTTATAACATTTGCTGTTGTGACAGCTGAAATTTGTGGAATTTTTTTTCTTCCCCTTTTTATATTTTCTCTTCTTAGCTAAAAGATAATAAATTTTACATGAAAAAAGCAAGTCTTTGTTACCATAGTTGATTATTTATCCTTTCTGCATTATTATATCCTCATGACAATTTATTCAGCTTTTCCTCACCATGAAAATTGCAGTATCATAAAAGAAAAATATTTGCCAGACTTTTAATTTGCATGATATCTATAACGCAGTTAGACATGCAGATGATTAGTTATATAGGATGTGCATATCATAAACATATCATGATAATCAGGTTTCCTCGTCATTTGTTTATGTAGAGATCTAAATGTGCCTTATGTAAGAAGATGGAACTCAAGCCAACAACTGTCTAAGTTTGATTGTGAGCTAATTATAGGTATAATAGTTATACTGTATAAAGAACAACATGAATTTTAATGAAAAACATAAGTTTAATAGATGTGGTTAGTAACAATCTGGGACTCTGATAGCACTCATTAAAATTGTTACAATGGGAATGTGGTAGGTCAACAGCACACCTGAAATGGTCATAGTTTGTCTGGGCAATTCCCATAGTTCCAGCGGGAAAGTCCGAGCACCTGATGCTCTCCTGAAAACTCCACTTCTCGCTCCAAAACCTTGATTGTCCTCTCATGGTATCGCTAATTCTCCACTGAATTAGGGGGGGGTTCTGCAGCAGGCAACAAAAGGCAACTACATTCCAACTTCAGTGAAAGATTTTCTATCCTAGGAACTATTGGGGTGAACTTGGAGGGGAGAAACCAGATAAGAGTTAACCATGTGACTTTATCACAGCACATTAGCTTATTCCAAAATTGCTGTTTGTGTTGATGAAAATGTGACCATTTTACTCCTTCCAGTTTTTATTTAGTAAAGATATGCTGTTGCTTAGTATTATGTGAAATATTCAAAAGTTTGGCAGTCTGAAATTCAGTATCTAACCATGGAGTTCCAACTTTACTTGCAACAACTGTTTTTCGACCATATATGTTACTCATCAAGCGTACTGTTTTTCTCAAAACATTTTGCTAAAGATTCTTTCTGATGTAAATGTTACTAATGAAGCTGTGTATAATAGTTAGTCTTTGCAGAATATTTCTGCTGTTCTGAATTTAAAAATACTTTTAAAGCATGAAAGGTATTTAGCATTAACTTTACATCTCTTTAATATCTTCTCTTCTCAGCATTAACCTATTTTATGTATTACATTCCTGTGTAAGGATTTTAGCAAGTAATTATTTAAAAGGGAATTTTGGAAGAATTAATTTTTTTTATTATTATTATTTTGCTTTATTGAGTATTATACTCCATTTGCTTTGAATGTGATTATTATGCAATAATTTGTGTGAGTTTGAAGTGTAAACATAAAAAAAATTTAAAAAGTAAGTATCTAAATATCAGTTTTTACTCCAAAGGTTTTTACAAGTCACAGTTGCAGGTCTGCAGCCATCCCATCCGCCTAGTGTTCGAATATGTGCAGTCAGAGCTGTATGGGGGTAAGTAACAAAAACAATATTTTGCATAAATAAAAATTTCATTTTCACACGGGAAAAAATAATTTTCAGGTACCTTTATTTTCATTTAAAATGAAGGTTCTCTCTTACTGTTTATTTTTTTAATGTAGTTGATTTACTTTTCTTTTTTAATGTTGTATCTGTAATGTAAGATCTGAAGGCAGTTTTATAGATTCCCACGATTCTGGAAGATTTCAGAAAACTATGACAAATGTGTCCATGGTATTAATACATAATTTCTTACTTTTTGGAGAACATCTGGAAGAGCAATGAAAACATAATAGTTGAATGTTTACTATTATATACTGGAATCTTTTTCTTAACATTTTTATCTTCCCTTTATTTTTTCTACTTTCCACTAGACACAAGCTTGGAAAATATCAAAAATGCATCTAATCTTATCATATGGACAGGCGTTATAGAAAAGAATTTTTTATCAATAAAGAAGTTGAAAACTAACAATTTAAATTATTCATCTAATATGTCTTAATGCATCATACCCAGGGCAGGTAGTATACATAGGGATGGTGCTAAACATTTTCCCACATGATGCAATCTCTGTGGATCCTAAATTCTGCTTCCAATGCCTGTTCTAAATTCTAAAAGTTTTGACATTTCTAGATTTTGTTGCTCGATGTGTCACTAAATTCTAAAAATTCTGCCACACCAGCTCTATACCGGACCTTACCATATATATTTCATATTTCTTCTGAATGTTAATGTTACTAAAGAAATAAAATTAGCAGCTTTCTCTATACATTCTAAATGCATTTAGTGTTTTTAGAATAATAAAAATTTTTAATTAAATCCACAAATTCTAAAATGAAAAGGAAACATGGAAGAAAAAAACTGAATACATTAAGAGAAAGAGAAATTATTCTTCAAAGATTTGTACAGATATTATTATGTAAATTACTCAGTTTACAATTTCACTATAATTTCCATTTTCTCACCGAATGCAAATCACTTAGCCAGTTTTTAAACTGAGGTTTTTGGAGTGTAAGACAAGAATGTGTTTCTGACCTCCACTTGCTCCCTGCATTAGTTCCTTCCAGCTCTGATAACTTGTAATTATTCATCTTTACATTACCGCTGCCGACATTTGAATTTGTTATGACGATAGAGTTACTGAGCCAGGTTAAAATGAAAGGAAATTGTATAGTCTTTGATCGCTAGTCCATATTTTTAGTTTGAATTTGATTCATCTTGTTTAATTACATCACCACGAACTGTAATTGATTTTTTTAGCATAAGAACATGCCTTTATGTTTTAAGTTCTTTTTAAATACAGAGTTGCCAACTCTCCCGATTTAGGCGGGAGACTCCCGATTTTCGACCGCTCTCCCGCCAACCCGATTTACAATATATTTCTCCCCGACTTTTTCTTATTCTTAATATTTCTCACGATTTTTATGGAACTTGGCTTAATACTTCGTTATATGAACAAAAAAAAAAGTGATTTTGGACGTCTGAAAGCAACTGAATTTTCTCTAGATTATATCTAAAATGAAACCTTGCGAATCAGATGAGAATTTCTGCTTTGTGATTGACAGCATACGTATCCAGCAACGTCGTTCTTCCAGTTGTCCAATGGGCATCGAGCTCCACTGCGTGTCATCTGGCATATATTAGCCAATGAGCACAAAGCAAGCTCAAGGCCATTGGCCGTTCTTTGGATGTTCTTTCGCTATTTCATTCATCTCGTCCTGAGTTGTGTGAGTACACGTGCCTTTAGGAAATAGTTTTAGAAATTATTGATCTTTTGCTTTAGTTATGTCTGCAGAAAGGTGAAAATACTCGTGCACGTTTTCAAAAATCGTACACAGTTGACTTTCCTTCCATTATTTCTTCAAGGAAATGTAATAAATTTGCGATGTGTACTATCCGTCATTGCGATTTTTCGATTTCGCTTGGTGGAAGGGCAGATGTTCTCAAACATGTGCGTACACAAAAACACAAGGACAACATGAGTTGTTTCGAAAAAACGAAAAATTAAATTTTTCTTCGGAAACAAAAGACCAAAAAATGATTAATGCAGAATGTCTGTTCTCCGCCTTTTTACTGGAGCACAACCTGCCACTGAATGCATCGGATCACGCTGCAGCTTTATTTAGAAAAATGTTTCCCGATAGTGAAATCACTAAGAAAATACTCAAGTGCAAGGACCAAAACAGGCTGCAATTGTTAAAGAAATGGGTTTGAAAAATAAATCTTCAGTTATTGATTGCATTAAAACAGCTCCGTTCTTGCCTCTCTACGGATGGAAGCAATAATACCAATTCAAAACTGTATCCAATTGTTGTTTCTTTTTTTAATCCAGAGTCTTCAGAAATTGAGTGCAGTTTACTTTCTGACCCCACTTTAGAAGGACATTCGAGGCTTTAATATAGCACAGCTAATTTTTAAAACTTTAAAATAAAATGCAGTCCCTCTGGATAATTGCTTAGCGCTTGGTGCCGATAATGCACCAGTAATGGTAAGCTTGAAGACTAGTGTTGCAGGCATCTTAAGAAAGGCAAATTAAGATTTGCAGATTATGAGGTGCACCTGTCACCTCTTAAATTTAGCAGCTGAAAAAGGGGCAGCTTCTTTACCATTAAATGTGGATGAACACATTGTTGATATTTATTATTATCTTGAAAGGAGTTCTAAAAGAAAGGGAAAATTGAAACAGTTCCAACAGCTGCATAATACTGAAATGAGAAAAATTTTGATTTTTTGTAATTTCTGCATCATTCAGCAATTCAACTGGCAGTTCTCAAAATAATACTGCAAAATATAAGCGTAAAGCTGATACAAATTTCTCTCAAAATAAAAATTAAAAAAAATTGCTCAACACACGAAACATTTTTCGATTACTGTAAGTTTATCTTGTGAAGAACGAATATTTATGTTTTTTTCTTCGGACCTTAACAAAGCTTTTTGCTTTTTTTTTTTTACAATTCATTTTGCCATCATTCGATGTTCTGAACACAATTTGACAAAACAAAATTCCATTAATTCATGTTTTGCAATCAATGATTTATGATCTGTTTAAAGACATTTTATCAAAGTTTGTAAAACCAGTCTGTGTTTTGTCTTGTCTATACTATTAAAATTGGTTTGGACCAAATTTAAAATCACCGTGAGCGGGCTGGCTGCATGGGTGTTTTCGTGATTTCCCACATGTGCATATTGTATGCAGTATCTTCTGGATGCATAAATGAATAAAGCGAGCGCAGCCCCTGCAAAACCGCTGAACACTGGTAGTTGGGTCCAACTTTCGAATCCCGGCGAGCGGGCTGCAGAATGCCGCTAAAAAATGGTAGTTCGGTTCAACTTTTCAATACCGGCCAAATTTAACATAGGATATCTTTTAAAAAAGAACAATGATAAGCGGGCTTCAGCCCGCTCAGGTGGCGGGCTTGCCCGCTAGTAATTCTATATATGATGTGATTTATGGTGAAACAGAAAATCAGAAGGAAAATGAAGATTTGGTAATAGGAGCTGCAACTACAAAAGTAGTGGAAGAACTTTCAGAAGAAGACAAAAATAAGTTTTATCTTCATGTTTAGAAGTTACTACTTCTGTCGAGTATGTGATTACACACTACATAAATTTCCAGTCAACGATGATGATTGATTTTGCATGCTAAAGTTTGTGATGTTTCTGCTCTAGCAAATGCATCTTTTTTTGATATAAGGTACTTTTTGAACAGATTTCCTGTGTTACTTCATTTAGTCATGAAAGATGATGATATTGATGTTGCTACTGATATACTGCAGTCGCAATTTTGCAGTTTACAATTAGAAAACTTGGATGAAGTTATAAAATCAGCTAGGATTGACACCCAGTGGAGGTTAATTGGAAAATTGAAAGGTGCTGATGGAATTTTAAAATATAGTGAACTCTCTAGAATTATGTTGCCCATCTTGACAGCTCCCCATAGTAATGCGGAGAGTGAGAGGATTTTCAGTGTTGTTGCGAAAACGAGGACTAAATTTAGATCTAATATTAGTGATGACACATTAGAAAAACTTTTATTAGCGAAAGCAGGCCTACGTGGCAATTGCTATGAACAAAATTATGAAGTTTCTTTCTTAACGAGAGCAAAATCTGCCACTGTCCATAACATTTGTATAAAAACTGATTAAAGTGCTTTTTTTTTTTTTTTTTTTTTTTTTTTTTTTTTTTTTTTAAATGATGAAAGTAATAAAAATGTTTTTTATGTCTAAGGTATTTTTGTTTTGCTTGCATTTAAGACTTAGTAACTATTTAAAGTTAATTCATTATTAAAAACTATATTTTTATCATTTTAAAAAGTCTTTTTAACATTGTGAAAAAATCTCCTGATTTTTGAGTGTCATAGGTTGGCAAGTATGTAAATAAGATGCTTATTCAAACCTTGTCTGACTTTGTAGTTACTTTCAGACATAGCGATAATTTGCTTGACATCTGTTCAGAGGGTTTTGAACTATTTAACTTTCACCAGATCAAGTAAAACCTCATAGGTACATTTTGGAGAGGTTGACAAGTTAGGAGATAAAACATGCAGAAACTAGTGAGAACATTGTCTTGTGTGTTGAGACGAAGTTCTAACTGTTAGAAAAGATGCTTAAAGAGAAGGAAATTGATATAAATTAGCCAAAATATGTGGAAAGTCTTCAAATTAAAAAGATGCATAAATATTTTGTTGAGTGTTGTTACCACAAAACATAACTATTTTGTAGCTTTTAATGTGTAATTATCCTAATAGCGTTTAAGAATTAATGCCATAAATTACATACATTTTAAACTGTAAAATTTTATTAGATTGTGATTATAATAGTGCTTTTTTAACAAATATTGTTAAAAAATAAAAAAATTTAATAGTGCCCATGTAAATCCATAATGAGTAAGGTTATCTAATACCTAATTTAATTACTTATAAGTAACTGGTTACCTTTAAAAATTATCTCTGCATTTTAAAGCGAGTTATTGCCTTTCATTAAGCCTTTTCGTGG